CTAAAATCCATCATTTAAAAAAACAAAAACAAAAACAAGATAACTTGATCATAAGAAAGAGCCCTCCTGGGCCCACTGACCAAGACCACAGAGTAATCACTCTTTTCTATATTAGAATGTGGAGGTCAAGCTCCCTGATGCCACAGAGTTATAACTATCAATTTAGCCTGTGAAGAATGGTTCCCAATTCTGATAGGAATTCTCAGATTTCAGCCTGTTTTTCTCCCATCATTATTTTCCAATGTCTTAAAAAGCCACAAGAACCACAAGAGCCTGGTCGTACTCTGCTGTGGTCTCTAAGTCACAGCCACTCCAGCCTCATTTTCTTGGATGCACTCCTTCAGAGGGCCTGACCCAGCACTGACTTGGTCTATTCTTAGAGTAGCACCTTTAAATATTAATTTCTTTTACCTTCCCCTGGTTGAAGGACAGAACTCAGAAGTAGAGGTTACATATAACATAAAAGAAAAAGCTCTGGGATTTAGTACCCTTCTCTCAAGAGTGTCCAGAGGAATCTGACCTGCAGACCTAACTGTCTTGCAGACATACACATAGTGCTGCTCAGCTCCTTGAGTTTTACATTTCATCCATATTTGCTGGAATAATCATGAACTTGTTTGAAAACACAAAAAACCAAGAAATAACAGCAAAGGTGAGAGGGCAAGCACTTTAAAGAAGAAAATCAACAAGGCTGGGGCTGCAGCTTAGTGGCAGAGCACTTGCCTAGCTGGCATGAGGCACTGGGTTCGATCCTCAGCACTACGTAAAAATAAACGAATAAAATAAAGGCATTCTGTCAAAATACAACTACAAAAAAACTTCTTGTAAAAAAAGAAAATCAACATAAAAACCCTCCAGAAACAATTTCAAGGTGTAACTCTGCCATTGTTTAAAGGTTAAATCACCCATCATTAAATGTATGAAAAGGCATGAACTTGAAACTGCAAGAAGTGTACAGTTAACATGTTTTTTTTTTTTTTAAAAAAAATCAAGCTTCCTGCTATTTAGAGATAGGTCCAACTGTATCCCCCAAAAGGCCAATACTAAATATTTAAATGGTAATGAATTGAAGTCACTGGACAAGGATATGAGATAAGTTTACAGAGTATCATTCATAGGGAAAATTCAAGAATTGCAGAAATTACAGCTAGCAGAGATCTCAAATTTATCAGGGTAGGCCTCCAGCAACATTAGGCACTAAAATGATGTGAAGGCAGAGGACAACAGTGGAATTTGCAGGCAAACTCCTAACTCTGACACTTACTAGCTTGTGAACTTGAAGAAGCTCTTTAAAGCATTACATTGAGGAGTCTTAGTTTCCTTATCAATGAAATAGAAATAATAATTGTACCAATACCTCAAAAAATTGTAGTGGATGAGACATAGCATGAATTTAATAAAAACTGCCCATTATAACATGTAATTATTATATTATTAATATAAGCATGTAAAGCTTTATTAAACCTCTTTCATAGATGAGGCAACTGAAGCCAGTTTTCAGAAATGTGCCTAAGGGCGCAGAGAGAGAATTTATAGGAATAAGGAGCTCAACTTTCTCCTATGAATCAATACAGACTGGGGGCCTGAGACAGAAGGATTTTCACTAGCTAAATCTTTATAGTCAAAAGTAAAATCAGGAGCTTCTAACAATCAGGATCCCTTGCTTACCAAATACTATTTCTTCTACTTCCCATTCTGTCATATAGCTAGAACTTTTTAGTATTAAAAAAAAAATGTCTTTGGTCAGGCACAGTGGCACATGTCTATAATCCCAGTGGCTTGGGAGGCTGAGGCAGCCTCAGCAACTTAGCAAGGCACTAAGCAACTTAGTGAGACCCTGTCTCAAAATGAAATAGAACAAGGGCTGGGGATGTGGTTTAGTGCATAAGCACTGCTGGGTTCAATCCCCGGTACAGGGGGGAAATAAATGTCTTTGTAGCTTTGATGCTGGCATGTCTTTCACTTCTCAAAATAACTTAACCTCAGGCCAATCTGATGTCTTAGAGTTATAGAAGTGTCAGGTATGTGCCACTCACATACATTATGTAATTTTTAGTTTCCTGGGAATCAGAAACAGCTTACTTGGCAACTAGATTGCTCTCAGTAGTCTAAAAAAATCTTTAAAAATTTCTCAGTAGTATAATGGCAGATGAAAAGCTATCTATAGTTAACAGCATTCTAAAACAGCTATAAATCTCACTACTAGTTCTCTAGAGTTCAGTATCAGTTACATAGACCAGTGGGGTTCACTTGCAGTGCTAGTCACAGCTTCCTAAAGAGAAGAATACAGTGTTCTACTCCCTAAAATTAACAACAGAGAGGGGAAAAAACAAACAAACAAGAAAAATAGTCCTCATTATAATAAGATCAAGAAAAAGAATAGATAACATGTTATAGCTTAAAATGTAGATACAGTTAGAGCAAGAAATATTTACCTAACATTTATTACATGTTATGCACCACACCAAGTAGTAGGCAAACAGAGATGAAGAAGAAATGATGCCAGCCGTTAAGGAACCACAAGAGAAAAGACTTATAAAGGAGGTGGGGTAGGGTGGTTAAATGAAGAAAAGGCCAGGAAGAAGCCTTACCCCCAGAAGAGTCATATTTCACTTGGCAAGGAGCCTCCTGAGTGCTGGTACAGATTAAATGGCCTAGAAACTTGACCCCTGGCTTGTCAGTTCTCTGTAAAAGCAAGCAAGGCTATTCAATCTTAGCCTTTATTCCCTGCCCACCTCACTTGCTTCAGTCCACACCATGAGAACAAGATTTCTTTCTGTATTTCATCCTCCTTTAGAAGGCTGGGAGAAGCAGCTAGCCCTCTGCCCAGAAAGTTTGTTTTCCCAAGAACTTAAAATTCAAATCCATTAGAGCTCCAGTTCATTATTCTGGAGGCTGAGGCAGGAAGATTACCAAGTTTGAGGCAACTCTGGGCAACTTAGCAAGACCTTGTCTCAACGTAAAAAAATTAAAAAGGTCTGGAGGGAAGCTCAGTGATAGAGTGTCACTGGGTTCAACCCACAGTTCCAAAAACCAAAAAGCAAAAGAAGGGCTGGGGTTGTGGCTCAGTGGTAGAGCGCTTGCCTTATGTGTGAGGCACTGGGTTCAATTCTCAGCACTGCATATAAATAAGTAAAATAAAGGTCCATTGACAACTAAAATAAAAAGACCTAGGGAGAGTACAAGTGTTCTTCTAACAGAAACCCAAGTATAGACTTTAATTTTAAATAAATTTAAGAACTTTTAATTTTAAAAAGAATAGCTGTCTAATCCCCAATGAGAACCTGGAGGATAGATGCGGAGGCTGGGGGGGGGGGAAGGTGGGGAATCTATGGTAAAGGAAGATCGACTTCAGTTCATAATTCACCTTAACAGGAAGCCTAGAGAGGTTATTCTTCCTGTCTTAGAATGTTCCCAAAAAGCCAGGAAAAAAAGGAAAGAGAATCCAAGAGATTATATAAATATATGATGGCATATTGGCCATAAAAATAATGGTTTGTATTTCCTTTTTTTGGTACCAGGGACTGAACCCAAGGGCACTTAACTACTGAGCCACATCCCGGCCCCTTTTTTAAATTTTTTGAGACATAGCCTCTCTAGGTTGCTGAGCCTGGCCTTGAACTTGTAATTCTCCTGCCTCAGCTTCCTGAGCCACTGGCATTACAGGTGTGAGCCACCAAGCCCAGCTAACACTTTGTATTTCTTTAGCACATCTTTTCATGAAGATTAAGAAAATTTTGGGGGGCTGGGAATGTGGCTCAAGCGGTAGCGCGCTCGCCTGGCATGCGTGCAGCCCGGGCTCGATCCTCAGCACCACATACAAACAAAGATGTTGTGTCTGCCAAGAACTAAAAAAAATAATATTAAAAATTCTCTCTCTCTCTCTCCTCTCTCACTCTCTCTTAAAAAAATTTTTTTTTTGTTCATTAGTTTGTTTGTTTGGTGTTGGGGATTAAACCCAGGGACTTGCAAGTGCTAGGCAAGTGTTCTACCGCTGGGCTACATTTCAAGTCTTGTTGAAAATTTTTATTTTAATAGAAACAGGGTCTCACTAAGTTGCCCAGGCTGGCCTTGAACTTCAGATCTCTTGTCTCTACCTCCCAAGTAGCTGGAATTATAGGTGTACACCATCATGCCTGTCTAAGATTAAGGTGTTTTTAAAAAGTGATTATCTCATTCAGCCTAAAAACAGTTCTGTGATATTCTAAACATAGTAACCATTTTGACTTTTCCATAGCTCAGTCATAATTTTTATTTATTTATTTATTTATTTATTTATTTGCAGTACTATTTATTTATTTATTTGCAGTATGAGAGACTGAACCCAGGAATGCTCTACCATTGAGCTACATCCCCAGCCATTTTTATTTTATTTTGAAAGAGGGTCTCACTAAGTTTCTGAGGCTGGCCCCAAACTTGTAATCCTCCTGTCTCAGCATTCTGAGTCGTTGGTATTAAGGTGTGTAACACTGCACCCAGCTCCAGGCATATTTCACCCTGAAGCATGACTCTTCAAACAATATAATCTATGAAAGATGTATCCCTCTAGAAATGCTCATAAATCATTAAGTGATTTGTATGACATCCTACAGAAAGAAAACTGCCCAGAAACACCATTTTAAACAATTTCATGACAAAAGTCAGCCATGAAAAAGAGAGACTAAAGGATCATCAACTAAAGGAAATCAGAGTGAATATTATGAATAAAGGAGAAAGTTAAAAACTATAAGAGGAACCTGAAGAAACAGATTTAACAGATCAAACAAGCAGTTGTTAACTACCATAGTCATAACCATCCTCAAGACATATCACTGGACAAAACTAGCTGCATGAAAGGCATGCTCCCAAACATGTCAGGCAGACTTCAATCAACCTTCCAGAACTAAACATTCGCTGCCACTACATAATCATCATTGTTCTGCTCTATTCTTCATGTATCCTGCCTGCTTCCAAGTACCTCTTTTGGGTTCGCCCTTTTAGCAAAGCATTCATGTACTTACTATTCAGTGAAGAACCTGGCAATGCCATACTGGCTAATATCCTCCCTGTTCTCTAGCAGTTGGCACACTGCATCCTCCATGTACGTGAGGACATGTCGCTGGGCTGCAAACAAAAAGCAAGAGAGAAAGAGAAAATGAGAGAGATTTTTTAAAGATCAGTAACGTTCTTCCAATTCCAGTAGGAGGCCTTACAAGTCAATCAAGGTGAGCTCTACCACAGGAAGTGGACTGGAATAGGCAGAGCAAACTTGCTGGCCTTAACTGAGCTATGATCTCAGTGGACCAAATAGGGGATGAACAAACGTGAAGAACACAAGCTACTGCCATCTGGCTAATGGTTAGTATCAGCATCAACCTTTCATTCTTCTTTCAGTGAGGAAGACGCTTCTTTCAGTGCTGAGGTGCTTTAGAAATACACCTGGAAGTTCTTTTCTTTACTCCTCTTCCACCAAATTCCCTCTGCCACTTCTGCATGTTCAAAACCTTATTCTAGGAATTCCATTCCTGAAGCCAGGATGATGTGACTGTAAAGAAAACTTAGTTCTTTAATTTTAAAAAAGTTACCGAAATAGGCTAAAGACCATGGAAATTCCAAAACTGTGGTGTAAGTTATGACGCTGGTAAATAACAACAGCATGAAATCTGGGTAGCTCAATTTATTACATATCATATTTTCTACATTTGTTGTTAACACTGGGCTTGTAATACAGAATGTGAATATTACAGCTAGACAGACTTGGGTTATTTTTTATTGTTACATTATATGTAATAATGGGATTCATTAAGTCATTATCAGATCTGGGTTGAATCATGGCTCTGTCTTTTATAACTTAATCTGGGATAATTACTTTAGCTACACCTGTTTTCTTCTATATCAAGTGTGAAAAGCAATACAATTTCAATCTATTTCTCAAAGTATAATCAATCTCTTGATCTGACTAGGATTCCCAATTAAAATGCAGATTTGTAGACTTAGGGATCATAAACTTCTAACTGGATCCCAGTAATTTTTAATAAATACCTTTGGTGTTTCTTATGTGCCCTGAAGCTTAAGAATCATCGCTTAAGAACATGGACTTTAGAGTTCAGAGAGACCCAAGTTCCATTTTCAGCCCTACCATTTCCTAGCTGTGTGACACTAAACAAATTATCCCCAAGCCTATTTCCTCCTTGTAAAATGTGAATAATAATCCTACCTCACCTGCCAAATAGTGTTTTAAAAATTAAATAAAATAAGGTATGTAAAACACCACAGTGCCTAATGCGTACTACATACTTGATACATTTTCTTAAAAGTCCATCAGAGGGGCTGGGGTTGTAGCTCAGTGGTAGAGCACTTGCCTAGTATGTGTGAGGCACTGGGTTCGATCCTCAGTGCCACATAAAAATAAATAAATAAAATAAAGATATTGTGTTCATCTACAACTAAAACAAATTATTTTTTTAAAAAAAAAGTCCATCAGAAGGACCAGGATTATACCTTAGTGGTAGAACATTTTTGTAGCATGCATAAAGTCCTGAGTTTATTATTATTACCTAGGAGGAGCAGGGAGCAAGCCTATCAGAAAGGGTTATTGGGATTTACTAATATATAATAAAAGCTGGAGCTTCCTATATAGCAGGGCTCAGCTAATACTTCTTCTACTTACCCTGAATTTTATCTTTAGTTATGACAATTGTATCCTGACATACTTTACAAAAGAGCTTCCAATTCATGTTCACATCCGTCACCCAAAAATTTAGAAAAATACTTTATTCTGGAGCAATAAGACCAATCCAAAAGTAATGAATATCCTGCCAAAAAGCAATTCTAAGAAGTTGCTGCCAAGGTTGATATTTGCTTAAGTATAGTTTCATATACTATATGAATACTATTTTCTTATATGGAAAGATTACCTAAAATTTGCAAAAATGTATGCATCAAAAAACTATTTCTGTGGGGAAAAAAATCTTTACCACATGTATCTAAAATAGAGCAATGATCTCCAGGATATATAAAGAACTCAAAAAACTTAACCCCCACAAAACAATCAATACATGGGCTAAGAAACTGAACAGACACTTCACAGAAGAAGAAATACAATCAACCAACAAACATGAAAAAATGTTCATCGTCTCTAGCTATTAGAGAAATGCAAATCAAAACTACTCCAAGATTTCACCTCTCTGCAGTCAGAATAGCAATTATCAAGAATACAAGAGGACTGGGGATATAGCTCAGTTGGTAGAGTGCTTGCTTCACATGCACAAGGCCCTGGATTCTATCCCCCAGCACCACAAAAAAAAAAAAGAAAATAGAAAAAAAGAAACAATAAGTGTTGGCAAGGATGTGAGGGGGGAAAGGTACACTCACACAATGCTGGTGGGACTGCAAATTGGTGAAAACACTATGGAAAGCAGTATGGAGATACTCCAGAAAACTTGGAATGGATCCACCATTTGATCCAGCTATCCTACTCTTCATTTTATACCCAGAAGACTTCAAATCAGCATACACAGTGATGCAGCCACATCAATGTTTATAGCAGCTCAATTTACAATAACTAAACTATGATACCCTTCAACCTAGATACTCTTCAACAGATGAATGGATAAAGAAAATGTAGTACATATACACAGTGGAATATTGCTTGTCCTTTAAAAAGAATGAAATTATGGCATTTGCAGGTAAATGGATGGAACTAGAGAATACCATGCTAAGTGAAATAAGCCAATCCCCAAAAAACAAAAACCGAATGTTTTCTCTGATAAGCAGATACTGATCCATAGTGGGGTGCAAGGATAGGGAAGAATGAAGGAACTTTTTAGTTTGTGTTGAGGGGAGTGAGGGGAGGGGTGGGGCTGTGACGATGGGAAGGACAGTGGAATGAGACAGACATTACTACCCTATATACATGTATGATTACATTACTGGAGTGACTCTGTACCATGTACAGCCAGAGGAATGAGAAGTTGTGCTCCATTTGTGAACAATATGTCAAAATGTAGTCTACTGTAAATTAATTAAAAAAAAAATACTATTTCTGAAGTCCTGATAGTCTAGTGAAGTTCATAAAACAAATCCACCAAGCCTTCTTCATCTGACAATAGTGACCCAGGGTTTCACCATGTTTGCACCAGCCTGAAGTCCAGAAAAGCAACATGGTTACATTTTCCATGAGTTGTCTGTCTTACCTGTATGAAGTACTTCCTCAAACTAACAACTACCAACCACTGCAAACTGCCCTTCCCCCAATAAAAGGATGTCAAAACAAAACAAAACCAGTGCTTCAATGACTCAATCCATCCAACAGGAAAACTGTTTCTTTAAGAAATGGCCCAAAGGGATGGGGACAGAGCCCAGTGGAGAGAACTTACCTAGCATTGGGGAGGCCCTGGGTTCGATTCCCAGTACTGCAAAAACATAGCAACAACAACTACAAAAAGGCCAAAACTGGAAGCTGGGGGTGTAGTTGGTGGCAGGGCATGCACTAGCACGAATTAGGCCCTGGTTCCATCCCGAGCACTAAGAAAAGAAAACAGTAAAAAAGAAAAAAGCGCCAAATCTGAAAAATGAAGCTGTTTGACAAACGTGCCAATAATTATTTTCAAAATACCAATCATTATAACTAAGTAAATATTAAACTGGGAAGAAAACATGGCCAAACAGTAAAATCAGCTGTATTTTCACCTCTGTGCGCCCCTTCCTTCCTCTACCCACGTACCCTAATCTGACCAAAAAAAAAAAAATTCCTTCCTTGGGCAATATGGCCTTTTTATGACTTACCTCTACCTAAGGCTAGTACAGGATTTTTTTTTTTTTCTTTTTGATGGTAGAAATGAAAGAGATCCACTTAGAAGCAAATCCTGCTGCTTCTCCTCCCTTGCTCCAGGGACTAAAAGTTAGGTGAAAGCCCTTTACATAGGAAATGTTTTAGAGCAGTTAGAATCAAAGCACTTTTGTCATCCCAGAAATTAAAAAAGGAGGTATTTTTTGGAAAATAGATTACACTAAAAAAAAGAGAGAGAAAAGAAAGAAAAATAAAGGACTATACCCGTTTCACATTTATTTGCCAATCACACAATTACTTTAATATTACAATAACAGCTGCCTTTTTTGAGCCCCTGTGCAACTTATTGAACAATGGGCCAGAAAATGTGCTGAATGTTTTATACACATTATTTAATTTTCACAATAATCATATGATAGGCATTTTTACTTTACAAATGGGAGAACTGAGACTTAAAAAATTAATTGGCTCAAGATTACAAAGCAAAAAAAAAAAAAAAAAGATTACAAAGCGAGGGAGCTGGGGATGTGGCTCAAGCGGTAGCGCGCTCGCCTGGCATGCGTGCGGCCCGGGTTCGATCCTCAGCACCACATACCAACAAAGATGTTGTGTCCGCCGAGAACTAAAAAAATAAATATTAAAAAATTCTCTCTCTCTCTCTCTCTCTCTCTCTCTCTCTCTCTCTCTCTCCCCCCTCTCATTCTCTCTTTAAAAAAAAAAAAAAGATTACAAAGCGAGCAGAGGGGCCAAGATTTAAACTAAGGCTTGTCTAATAACAAGAATCTGTGCTCTAATACACTGCCTCATCATTAACACGTTATAATCCCATGAGGGAAGCAAAAATTATCTTCATTTTACAAACAGTACAAAAACAGGTATGTACGGTAACAGTAAGATCATCTGAGATATACAGTCTTTTTGTGTCTGTGTGAATTTATGCATGTGTGTATATGCATGTGCATGTGCATGTCTTTCTGTCCTGTCCCCACCTGCATACCATTTGTGTGAAGTTAGAACTTGTCCCCAAATTTCAAAGTTTTTTTTACCCCACCACAAAGTATTCACCCCACCCATTCCCAGTTCACAAAGTGGAAACAGGAAGTCCTGGTGCTTTTTTAAGCTGTGGGTGGTGAAGAGAAGGAGCTATGAGCTGCAAAGGTAGGGAAAGGCTCCTTTCCGTGAGAATTTCACACCAGCCAACAGCCAAGTGTGAAGCTCTCTCTAATTGCTGCTCCTTGGTGGTTTCTTTCACCTGCAGTTCTTATCAGCCAAATATTCCCTCTGTGGTTAAGTGTACCACCCAGCCCTGGAAAATCCTTACAGTTTATCAAAC